GGCTGCACTTCCCTCCGTTAGCTGATGGCTGGTCATCTGACAGCTTCATATACCAAGCCCAGCCCTAATGTGCCCAGCTTCATGACCCTGGGCTGCACTTCCCTCCGTTAGCTGATGGCTGGTCATCTGACAGCTTCATGTACCAAGCCCAGCCCTAATGTGTCCAGCTAAGCTCCTGAGGACAGGGTCCTTATCTAAAGAAGGCGCCTTGCCACCCCTCCCTGGAGTCTGCAGGAGGTTTAGGCAGGCCTGTGCCATTTGGACTTTGTACAGGAACACAGTTCTCAGAAACATCCACACATCCCAATCCTAGAGGAGGGGAAAAAGAACCAGAGATGAGGGAGAGGGCTGGGATGCCAGCCATATCGCAGCCTCCCCTACTGGTCCAGGCCAAGTTAATTACCTGTTCGCCATCCCCATCCGGTCAGTAAAGCTGCCTTTCCAATCTTACTTGGTAAATAGAGCTGGGACTCCCCGAGGAACATGGGAAGGGGCCATGATCATCCTAACTATTCCAACAGGAAAAGTCCCTTATTCCTGTGTCCACTGCCCCCTGTAGGCCTCTGTACACTGTGGGAGTTGCACCGTCAAGACCTACCCACTCTCGGAAACACCCAGGACCAGTCAGCCTTATCAAAACTATACTCTGTGACCAACTCCTTAAGTGACCCGGGATGAAAGTCACTACTCTGAGCCTTGGTTTCCACAGCGATACCATGGGAATAAAACGCCTGTTCATCCATTCAAAAGCATTTCATGGCAGGCCAACAGGAAGCCTCAGGTTGGAGGCCAGGCTTCACTGTTTCAAAAAGAAAATGTTTCTTGGGGTGGGGATGTTGTGGATCCGTGGTAGGGAGGGCGCTTGCCTAGCATGTATGAGGCCCTGGGATCCACCCCCAGAACCAGGAGATTCTGTGCAGGACATGTAAGGGACTCGAGGCTGGATATGGTAGGAGTAGCAAGGGGAGAGGGTGGCCTGGTCTGGATAGTGTGCGTCTGGCAGGAGGCCCAGAGCTGAAGGCCCAGGCAGGGAAACGGCATCTCTAGAAATGAGCAGAAGTCATGGGGAGCTGCAGCGGGGAGGGAGCAAGGGAAGAGCAGCTGCTGAGTCAGAGTGAGAGCGTGGATGGATGAACTCACGTCACCCCTGAAAGGGGTGATCATCAGGGAGGCAGCAAGCAAAATGCGTGGTAATGTTTAGGGAGGCCGTGCATAAGCTGAGAGCATTCGAGAAGCTAAGGGAGCTCACAAGTTCAAGGCCAACCTGGGTGAATACCAACAAAAAGAAACAAAATCTGGCCATTTAAGAGAACTTGGAAGTTCTGGGTGCAAGTGCAAACATGACATTGCAGACAGGCTGGAAGAGTGAGCTGGAGGAGGGCAGATAGAGGCCTCAGGGCTGTGAGGAGCCTGAGACGCAGCTCAGCACAGCACTGGAGAGCCACAGAAGACTCGTCACTGGGGAGATGTAGGCTGATGTGTTCTAGTTCTCAAAGGCACACCGGAAAGCAGAAGAGACAGAGGACAAAGAAAGGGGACTTGGGTAAACTGGAGGAGACAAGTTAGCCTGTGTGTGAGGACAAGCAGATGGGAACCCCTAGAGTTGTTGGTTCTGGTGTGGGTATCAATGTGGCCATAGAGTGGGTCACTAGGGGCCGGTGGCACAGATTACCAGGAAAGGAGCCCAGTAGTGACAGAAAGAGGCTATGTGCCTGCAGAAATGACACAGCAGATGCCCAAGTCTGAACTCAAGACTCCTCCTCAAAAACCCATTTTACTGATGAGAAAGCAAAGCTCGGAGTGCTGAGTGACAGGGCCTATAGCTGCTCAGCAAATGGCACCTTGTCCAGTTCAGAGAACTCGATCCTCTCCTCCAGGGTGCAGCTGCGGCCGATGGGAGAGATGTTCAGCATGCCATTCCGGAACTCAATGAAGGTTCCACTGGGGGTGATGAAGAAAAGTGGTGAGAGAGCAAGAAGCCGTGAGGAGGAGAGAACAGCTTTGAATTCAAATCCTGTCCTATCTAGAATCAGTCTCCTTAGACTTCACAGGGTAGAAGAAACTACACATGCATAAGTTAGGGTTCTGGACCTGGGGGTATAGATAATTGGTAAAACACTTGCCTGGCATGGGCAAGTTTCCGGATTCTGATCCCAATTCAGAAAATAAAAAATGCAGGGGTTCCATGTGAAGCTCTCCCACCCTCCACCCATAAGCCCAGCTTAGTGGGGGGCCTCACCGCTTCTTGGGCAATCTGAGCAGAGCCATGTAACTAAGACAGAAGTTGATCAAGTCCTGCAGGAGCTCTTCCCCCAGGTGGTTCTGGATTGTCTGTGTAAGGAACACAAGGCTTGAACTATGGCACACACAAGACAGAAGGAACCCAGCTTGGAAAAGTGGGGTGCCCCAGCTGAGGCCTGGGGACACTAACCTGCTTGGAGAGTAGCCGTCCATGCTTGTACTGCACTGTCCCATTCTCGGCAAACACATAATCAAATTTCTCAATGACTTGAGACCCATGGAGAGGCCGGAGAGAAAGAAAGAGCATGAGACAAGGGCTCACTGTCACCCCAGAGCAAACCCTGGAGACGAAGCCCGGGCTGTTTGGCTTGGCAGTCTGCAACCACTTTTCTACCCTAAACCGGCTTTTCTGGCTGCCTGGCCTTCTGAACCTTTGCTTTCTTCTACACCAGCCAGTTACTCCTCTAGGCCATTGCTGAGGTAGGGCCTTCTGCTTGGAACCACCCTTGGTGTCCCCTCTACTCATCCTCCAATATCCAGCTCCCCCTCCTCTGAAGACTTCCCAGGAATGCCCAAAAGAGGGTGCCATTTCCAACTTGTTCCTGCAGCCTTCCCATACCCCACAGGCCTCCCCCATGAAGACTCCATTCTCCTTTCTGTCTCCCTCTCTGTTGTCCACAGGGTGGCACAGCAGTTTCCAGCTCTGAGTGCTACAAGGAGCAGTTGGGAGTCAGGGAGTGCCAGGGAACATGGCTCAGATGCCCTGTGGTATCTGGGTGGTAACAATCAGTGGGGCTATGGGGTGTGGGAGAAGGGGGGCGTAGACAGATGGCATAGAGAGTTTGGACTTGCTAGTGAATAAATGAGGGGAGAAGGTAAAGGGATAAGGGGAAAAGATTTTGGGGGGGCTTTTCTTTTTTTGTTTTTTCAAGACAGGGTTTCTTTATGTAACAGCTTTGGCTGTCCTGGAACTCGCTGTGGAGACCGGGCTGGCCTTGAACTCAGAGATCCACCTGCCTCTGCCTCCAGAGTGCTGGGATTAAAGGCGAGAGGCACCAGAAGAAGCTATAAATAAACAAATGGAAACCAAGACCCAGCAGGGAGCAATGAGAATGTGCACCGCCTAAGGGCAGAGAGCTGCTGTTCTGCTTCTAGCAGACTCTCCAGGATCTAGCACAGTAGCCAATGACAGGTGCTCACTAAATGTCTGTGCAGGATGGAGGCCGCCATCTACTCCTTCTCTATCTCTTCTGCCTCACAGAACAGGAAAAGCACCCAGGAATTTCCCAGCTCCACCCTCCTTCAGCCCCACCCCAGCCCCACCTGGAAAAGATGTCACCCATGCCTACCTTCATCCCCATCACCCAGCTGCTCAGCGATCTTTGAGTAGTCAGAGCCACCCACTACGCCAATCTGCACCCTACTTCGAAGCTTCTGCAGGAAGGCTGACACCTCAGGGTCAATTTTCTGTGGAGGACAAAAGACTCTGGTTATCCTGGGCGGTGGTGGCACACACCTTTAATCCCAACACTCGGGAGGCAGAGGCAGGCAGATCTCTGAGTTCAAGGCCAGCCTGGTCTTTAGAGAGTTCCAGGACAGCCAGGCTACACAGAGAAACCCTGTCTTTTTTTTTTTTTTTTAAACGGGGGGTGGGGGGCGGAGTTTCGAGGAAGGGTTCCTCTGTGGCTTGGAGGCTGATCTGGAACTAGCTCTTGTAGACCAGGCTGGTTTCAAACTCAGAGATCCACCTGTCTCTGCATCCCGAGCGCTGGGACTAAAGGTGTGTGCCATCACAGCCAGGGAGAAACCTTGTCTTAAAACAAAAATGTCAGGACCTCTACCTGGCTCCTAGTGCTCAGGATTAGGGAACCACTTTCCTCCTGAATCTAAGCCAGAAATGTAAAATGCAAAGCTGCTTGAGCACTAACATAATGCCCAAAGTGGAATTCCACTGGTGACCTCAAGTGAAGTGTTGCAATCAAAACAGAAATAGACTAAAAACATTGCTCAGAATGGTGTAGGACTGCATTCTCATGGCAGAGCACTTGCCTAAAATGCATGTGGTTTTGGGATTGAAAAGAAAACTATGTAAACAAAACACATATAAGGTCCAGTGAGTGGGCTTGGTAGGTGGAAGAACCTGCCTTGATACCTAATAACCTGAGTTCAATCCCAAGGAGGACCTCGTGCATTACCATGGCCTGGCCTAAAAGAATACATTTTTTTGGAACTTTGGAGCTGATCCTGGAACTCTATCAGTAGACCAGGCTGACCCTGAATTCACAGAGATCCACCTGTCTCTGCCTCCTGAGTGCTGGGATTAAAGGAGGGGCCACCACTGCCTTGTGGCAAGAATTTTGAAAGCTAACATTAGAAGTTGTCTTTAGGCCGGGCGGTGGTGGCACTCCCGAGGCAGAAGCAGACGGACCTCTGTGAGTTTGAGACCAGCCTGGACTACAAGAGCGAGTTCCAGGACAGCCTCCAAAGCTACAGAGAAACCCTGTCTCGAAAAACCAAAAAAAAAAAAAAAAAGTTGTCTTTAGTTTGTTTATCAGTTTCATATAAACACAAATGAATTTTGTGTTCACGTGTGGGTTCCATTGCCATGACAACTCATTGTGTATATGCTCAGAATCTGAAAAAGTATCCAAAATCACAAACATTTGTGCTTGCAAACCTTTCAAATAAAAGATTCTTCACTTGCACAAGGCAGAGACCTCAGAAATTCTTCCTGCTAAGCTCTGGCTCAGGTAACTAAGACCTTTTTTTGCCTCACTTACCCTTTTAAAACCTGTCTACCACAGTAGGAGCCACTTAAAGGGAGGGGATCACAGTTATCATTAAATGAAACAATTTATTCAAAGTGTATCAAGATTCTCCACTAAGGAAACCTGAACAAGCCAGTCAGAATTCAAACTTCCATATATTCAGATATCAAAGACCACTACTAGAGGCAATGTTAGATGGGAACAGGAATTTGAAAGTGCTGTCCATGAACGTGTAAGATGGTACAACTGTTTTGGAGGGCAATTTGGCAAGATCCACTGAAACTTAAAAAGTTGTCCATACCCGGTCAAGGTTAAACAGTATTTCAACTTCTCTTGCCTAAGGCACATCCACCACTTCCATAGGGTGTGGTTTATAATAGTGAAAACCGCAAGCAACTCCCATGCTTATCAGCCAGACAAAGACACATGCTTCCTCAGAAATGTCACTAGGCAAGAGTGCGGATAAGGGGGCTGGAGAGATGGCTCAGTGGTTAAGAGCACTGCTTGTTCTTCCAAAGGTTCTGAGTTCAATAGTTCAATTCCCAGCAACCACATGGTGGCTCACAACCATCTGTAATGAGATCTGGTGCCCTCCTCTGGCCTGCAGGCAACATGCAGACAGAACACTGTACACATAGTAAATAAATAAATAAATAAATCTTAAAAAAAAAAAAGCCCCCCCCCCAAAGAGTACGGATAAGGTCAGATCTGTGCTTCCAACAAGGCAAGGCCCTAAAACATGTTGTTGACTGTCAAGCAAGTTGTAGAAAGCCACAAGCAGGAACACAGCTTCACATCTAATATTTCCTATGGTCAGAGATCCAGATAAAAGCACCAAGGGAAGCCATAACACACACACACAATATTATGTAGAAAGCCACAAGCAGGAACACAGCTTCACATCTAATATTTCCTATGGGCAGAGATCCAGATAAAAGCACCAAGGGAAGCCATAACACATACACAATATTACCTTGGGGAGGAGGGGCTGGCCCTGGGATACTGGTGAGATCAAAGTGGTCTTTAGCCTTTAACGTTTGCATTCTTTACAAAAGTAAAGCACTTGTGGGCATTGGTGGCCCATGCCTTTAATCCCAGCACTCGGGAGGCAGAGGCAGGCAGATCTCTGTGAGTTCGAGGCTAGCCAGGTCTCCAGAGCGAGTGCCAGGCCAGCCTCCAAAGCTACACAGAGAAACCCTGCCTCGAAAAACCAAAAAAAAAAAAAGTAATGCACTTGTGAACACATGTGTAATTAAAAATTAACGGCCTAGCAGTAAACAAATTGGCAGGGAGTTTTTGTCCAGGCCTTCAAGTCAGTATGGCGTAGGGTCAGGAGAGGCATGCCTAGGTGGGACCACCCTCTCTCTGATCCGGACATCTTTATTCCTGATCCATCCGTGCTGGAAAGAAAGGTGGCTGATCCCTTCTAGAGATGGAGGCTATCATCTGGAGGCTAAGACTTGGGTCCCCACCAGCTTCTGTTCGGGACGAATTTTCAGGTCATCCCCATTGTCCCCAAAAGGGAAAGTGTACAGGCACGACCCAGAATGAGACAAAGGGGGGAGGCTGAACCATAAAATGCAGATAGAAAGAAAATACACTCAGTGACCCTCTTGTAACCAGACTAGCCCTGGAGCCTCTCACTCCACATGCGTGGAGCCAAAACGACACGACTAACAAAAAACAAAACTCATTAGAAAAGCAGCTCTCTCCCTCTGACCTGAGGTGGAAGGTAAAACCCTTAAGAGGCTTAAGAAACTGAACCCAGGCTTAGGCTTGTGGACGCCAGGGTGAAGGCTCTTGCCTTCACTAGAGGGCGACCGTGGGCTTGGAAGCGCACCGAGATCTGCCTGGACACCGCGTTCTTATGCTAGCTTGAGGACTGGCTAGTTGTGCATCCCAGGGCTGAAACAGGGTGGGAGCATCCCAGAGGCTAGCCTGGGCCTGTGGAAGCCTTGGGCCCGGGACACCTGGCCTCCCGCCCATAGTCGTTCCTCCCAGGGCAGGATCCAGTCTCAGCGCTCTCGGGAAGAACGCGGGCGCTCACCCGCGGAGCGCTGTGGCTTGGAAGGCCCGGAGAGCCTGGGTCCCATCTCCTCGGTGACAGGGGCCGGGACCAACGCGTTCCACACTCCACACCGGGTCGCGTGGGTGTCCGCGATCACGTTGCTGCCCGCTCCACGCTGGATCACGGATATCAGCGTGACACTCGGTGGGAGCTGCCAAACCTCGGAGCCCTTACCTGGCGAGCTGGCGTGAGGGTCCCGTCCACGTCAAACAGGCAGAGGATGCGCTCTTTCCTGCGGGTGCCCTCCACAGCGACAGCCATGGCTGCAACTCTCTCTGCGCGCCAAGTGCTGTGACCGCTGCTGCAGCCGGGGTCGCGTGCGACAGAGGTCGGGCGGGGCCGGGGCGGGGCCAGATGCACGGACTGGGGAGGAGCAGTGGCCAGCGGTCCTCCCTCAAGGGAGCGGGGCCTGCGTCGCCGAAAACAGACGCTACTGGCACCTAGGATGGAGAGGCGTGGTAACAGGCGGAGTCAGAGCTCTCTGTGCCGACGGAGACAGGAACCGGCGGGAAAAGGGTGGAACCGGAAGGCGGTGTCGGCCAGGATTGGACTTTAGCTGGTTGCTGGTGCTTTCAGGGCACGCCCTACGGGGTGGGAATGGGGGGCGAGGGCGGGGTTCAGTGCTCGGCTCCTTGTGGTTCCCAAGGTTTGTAGGGCAAAGGGATTGATTGCCCTTGTAGATCTTGAATTTGAAGAAATCTTCAGAAGAACCTGGTACACTGGCTCTCCTGTAATCTAGCACTTGGGAGGTAAGGACCGCGTGCGCCACCACTTCTCAGCTGTTATTCTTAGTTATATTTTTGTTTACTTTATGTGTTTGTGTGTGGGCACATGCGTGAAACAGCACATGTGTGGAGGTCAGAGGGCAGTTTACGAGAGCCGCTTCTCTTTCTCCACCATTGTAGATCCCATAAGTTGAACTCAGGCCAGTAGGTTTGGCACAGGTGCCTTTACCCATTGAGCCATCTCAGTGGATAAGACACATTAAATGCATTTGATGTAGGCCTGAGCATAAGGGTTAAGAAAAAGAGAGGAAGCCAGGCGTTGGTGGCGCACGCCTTTAATCCCAGCACTCGGGAGGCAGAGGCAGGCGGATCTCTGTGAGTTCAAGGCCAGCCTGGTCTCCAGAGCGAGTGCCAGGATAGGCTCCAAAAGCTACACAGAGAAACCCTGTCTCAAAAACAAACAAACAAACAGACAAAAAAAAAAACCAATAAAAAGAAAGGAAGAAAGAAAGAAAGAAAAAGAGAGGAGCCATTTGTTAGAAGTGTCTGGATTCACCTTTCATTTTCTTCATGGCTGCCCATCATAACCCCAGGTCTGGTATGAGGACACTGCCTACATATCTCACTTGAGTGAAGGCGGTGAGGTTTTCCCAAAGAAGACAGAGAAGCATCGGGGCAGCTATGGGGCTGCTGACTGGAGATGGTCTGTGGTCTGTGGCCGTGCTCACAGTCATCTTCATGTTACTGGTGGATCTGATGTATCGGCGCCAGCGCTGGACTGCCCGATACCCACCTGGCCCCATGCCATTGCCTCTACTGGGCAACCTGCTGCAAGTGGACCTCAAGAATATGCCATACAGCTTGTACAAGGTAAAGGAAAATGATGGTGGGGGCAGCAGAGGTGTGGTGCTCCTACCAGCACTTTGTGGTGCAGAAGCAACAGACATTCAAGAGGAAGGACTGAGGTGGCTGGGCTTCCTGAGGGAGGGCACTGTGGGCCTGAGGACACTCAACGTTCCAAGGACCAAGACATGGGAACACAATGGCCAGGAGACGGGGCAGGATGTAACAGCAGGCTTGGGATTAGTTGGATAGGGCAGAAGTCAGAGATGCCCCAATCCCTTATGGTCCCCTCAGTAAATGAAGTGTCAGGGATGAGAGAGAGGGAACAGGGTCTAGTGCAGCATGGTGGTCAAGGAACGGAGAGGAGAGAGGTGCTATGGATGATGAGTGGTCTCAACCTCACTGCTGACCTCAGGGAACCAGAAACTCCTTAGGTACGGTGGGATGCAAAGGGGCCTGGTGGCAGTTTCCTGGCTCTCCCAAGATTACAGCTGGGTGATCTCTTATCTGTTATGAATCCTTTGCTGAATGTAGAAAATGAGACACCCCAGCCATAAAGCACCAGATCTCAGACTGGGGATGGAGCTCAGTGATAGAGCATTTGCCCAGGATATGTGAAGTCCTGAGGTCAGTAACACACACACACACACACACACACACACACACACACACACACACTTGCGCATGGGTGCATGCATGAACAACACATAAATGCATGAGTGCATGCATGAATAATACACACAAATGTGCTTTAATAATGTACAAGCAACGCATACACACTCACATGCATGTACTCACACATGCATGAACAATACATTGAGACTTGTATCACTGGTGAGTCTGGTTCTAGCATTGGCTGGGGACCTCAACTCTATAATTGCTCTGTCCCTCCACTTTAGCTTCAGTGTCGCTTTGGTGATGTGTTCAGCCTGCAGATGGCCTACAAGCCAGTCATCGTGGTCAATGGACTGAAGGCCGTGCGTGAGGTGCTGGTAAACTGTGGCGAAGACACTGCTGACCGTCCTCGAATGCCAATCTATGAATTCCTGGGCTTTGGGCCTAAATCCAGAGGCAAAGGACTGCAGCAGGGGACTGGGGTGGGCAAAAGTGGTGTCACGGATAGGCCTGTGGGCAGCAACTAGAGGGAGGACAGGGCCTAATGGAGGGGTGATGAATGTAGCCAACAATATAACAAAAGTTGCTGAGTGCTGAGAGCAGAGGACAGCACAGCCAGGTGCCATTGGTCACACGCAGATGTGTCTACAGGTGTGGTCCTTGCACCTTACGGGCCTGAGTGGAGAGAGCAGCGAAGATTCTCTGTGTCCACCCTGCGCAACTTGGGCCTGGGCAAGAAATCACTGGAGCAGTGGGTGACAGATGAGGCTGGCCACCTCTGTGATGCCTTCACCAACCAGGCTGGTGGGTGATGGGTGAGGGATGCAGATGGGCACAGGGAGACATGAGCAATACAATGACTATCTTGTGTCTCCACTCCCAGGGCGTCCTTTTAATCCCAGCACCATGCTGGACAAAGCTATGTGCAATGTGATCGCGTCCCTCATTTTTGCCCGTCGCTTTGAGTATGAAGACCCTTACCTCACTGAAATTTTGAAAATAGCAGAAGAACTTTTGGAAGAACTTTCTGGCTTCATTCCTGAGGTAGGAGGCTCAAGGCAACTCGCAGAGCCACTTCTATGCTGTCCATCCTCCCAGAGGAAGCTGTGTGCCAAGGCCATGAGAGAGGCCTTTTGGAGTCAGCTGCAGGAGGAAAGGCCTGGAGCTTGACAAACCTCCAACAACAGGAGGGGAGAAGTAAATCAAAATCAGGGTTTCTAGAAAGAGAGGGAACCTGTGCCCTCTGTTTACATGGAAGACACACAAGCCTGTGACTTCCAGGGTAGAATCTTCCTTCTGTTCACCCCGGCTGCAAGAGTCTAAAGGGTGGAATTGAGAGGAGCAGGTGATGGGTATGGATGAACTCTGGGTCCCTTGTGAAGGAAGCTGTGATCTGAAACTGATCCAGGTGGACAGTGAGTGGAGGAGGCACTCAAGTGCCAGCCAAGTGGTTAGTGGGTAAGGAGCTTGCCAAGCAAGCCTGGGAACCTGAGTTTGATGCCTAAAACCCATGTAGGGTAGAGACAGTGCACTGTACACATTGTCCTATTACTGGCTTACACACACCATGGCTCATGAGCCCCATACACAATAATGAGTAATGACTAATTTTAAGAAGAGGAAGTACTGAGACTTGCTCTGTGGGTGCGACAGGTTTTGAACATGTTTCCGGTGCTCCTGCACATCCCAGGGCTGGCTGATAAGGTCTTCCCACACCAGAAGGTGTTTTCTGCCATGTTGAAGAAGCTGTTGGCTGAGCACAAGATGACTTGGGATCCTGCCCAGCCACCCCGAGACCTGACTGATGCCTTCCTGGATGAGGTGGAAAAAGTGAGGGACAGCCACAAGAGATGGGGTCAGGGGCATTGGTTAAAGTGTCCTGTGGGTTCTGAGGCCAGGCTAGTAGGGCCTGAGTACCATTCAGTGACCCAGCACCTAAGCTACAGTTGGAGGGTATTGTGGGGTTTTCTCTCTTTCTCCCCGGTGCCTACCTTTTTTTGTCTGTCCCAGGCCAAAGGGAATCCTGAGAGCAGCTTCAATGATGGGAACCTGCTCATGGTGGTGGCTGACCTGTTCATGGCGGGGATGGTGACCTCTTCAACCACACTGTCCTGGGCCCTGCTCCTCATGATCCTGCACCCGGATGTGCAGAGTGAGCCTGGCTGGGGTTGGGAGTGGGGAAAGACAGAAAGACAGAGGCATACTCTCTGATCTTACTCGAGTCACTCGTGACTCCCAGCACTGGTTTGACACAGACTGCATGAGTCACATGATCCCAGTCTCTAACACAGAGGTAGGAGCCCCCTTTGGCCCCTTCACTGAGAGGATGCTGTTCTTACAGGCCACGTCCAACAGGAGATTGATGATGTCATAGGGCAGGTGCGGCATCCAGAGATGGCAGACCAGGCCCGCATGCCCTACACCAATGCTGTTATTCATGAGGTGCAGCGCTTTGGGGATATTGCCCCATTGGGTTTTCCACACATGACATCCCGTGACATTGAAGTACAAGGATTCCTCATCCCCAAGGTAGGCATGGGCCCTCCTACTCTTACATCATGACACTAGCACACAAAGGCAGGAAAGATCAAGACCAGCACACCCTGGATTTCTAACATGCTGACAGGACCAGCCTGATGCAGGTACCCTGCAGCCACTGAGCATACTCAGGAAAGAGAAATGGCCAATGACAATGACCACAGGGGATTTTAGAAAGCACTGCACACAGAAACAGGTCTGGTTGGGCACCCATGGGAGACTCCTTACAGGGCTACCATGGCCTTAGGGAAGGGGCTGGGAGGCTCTAGGGCTGAGGTTGAATGACAGAACCTAGTGTGTGCAGGAAGACATGTACATGTGGTCATGGTAACCAGGGTATTGGCAGCCCTATCCCAGTCCATGTTCACACATGTGCCTCCTGCCAGGGGACGATCCTCATCCCCAACCTGTCCTCAGTGCTGAAGGATGAGACTGTCTGGGAGAAACCCCTCCTCTTCCATCCTGAACACTTCCTTGATGCCCAGGGCCGCTTTGTGAAGCATGAGGCCTTCATGCCATTCTCAGCAGGTACTGTGGGGTGCCTGGCTCCATGTCTCTTCCCAGGGTGCCTTGGGGAGTGGAGCATCAACCAGGCCCCAGACTGACTGAGCCCCTCTCCTACCCACAGGCCGCAGAGCATGCCTGGGGGAGCCCCTGGCCCGCATGGAGCTCTTCCTCTTCTTCACCTGCCTCCTGCAGCGCTTTAGCTTCTCGGTGCCTGATGGACAGCCGAAGCCCAGTGACCATGGGGTCTTTGCAATGCCCGTTGCCCCCTCCCCCTACCAGCTCTGTGCTGTACTGCGCCAGCAGGGACACTAATTCCAGTCCTGCTCTGTTGCTAGGACTGAACCCTGCACAATAAACTAGTCTTGTGGCTGCCACTGTTTCCTGCTCCATCCTCAGTCCCTATATCTGCTGGGTCCTCAGACAACAGTCTCCAGCCAACCTTTACCACTGGTCTCATCCCTTCCCAGGAGACAGCTAATGCTGAGAGAAAAGGTTGTGCTGAGCCTAGCATTGGCACAGGCCTGTTATTTCCACACACGGGAGCCTGAGGAAACAGGATTACAAGTCTGAGGCTACCCAGCCCTGTATAGCAAGTCAACCTGGACTACATAGTGAGAGCTTGTATCATTAAAAACAAAAGGAAGGAGGGAGAAAGAACTGTGCTGGTATTTAGGAGTGACAGCTGACCCTATGTCACCTATAAAGACCTATCCATGGTGACCAGGTTTGTGACAAACTGCAAGTAGATGTCAAGACTCCATGAGTCTCAGATGACATGTAAATGTATTTTTGCTAAGAGCCAGCTCTGCTCCTGTCTGAGTGACAGCCAGTGGCAGTGGTCCCAATGTGGGGAGCCTTCCCTGCATTCTCCATTACAAGATGGCGCCTGCATCCGGCAGTCACCGAATGTAAACAAGTTAGTGCGCAGGCGCTGGCTAACTTTCCATCCCTTGGTCTCTGCCTCTTCCGTGGCATCATATGGTCCTATGAGCTGCAGCGAGTCAGGGGGTAACACGTCCGAGGCGGCGGTTGCCAGCCTTTATAAGGGATGGGTTTTTGGGAGTTCGGGGTCTCCACCCTGTAAGCTTATGCTCTCTCTCTCAAGATGCATTAAAGCTTTACTGCAGAAGGATCGGAGTGTCCTGTGTTGTTCTTGCTGGCGAGACGATCGCGCAGGACACCCCAAGACCCCGAGGTGCCCTGAGATGCTAAAAAGGCTCACAAAAGTAGAAAGGCTGCTGTCCTCACAGCTCAGGCTAGTCACAGAGGGAAGGTACAGAGGAAGAGCAGCTACAGTTAGTGGAGATGGGCAGAGCCTGGGTCATCACACACACAAAGCTGTCAGATATCTGTCCAGACAGAAGTCTTCCAGCCACCAAGTATGACTCAGATAGAGGAGGACATTGCTCACAGGGAAGCTCACCAAGCCTCACTGCTCAGGGATTTGGTGGGTCACATAGTCATGAGCACCGTTTGGGGAGCACCGGCATGGCCGACTTCAGTCTCCACACCCTCCAAGTCAGATTCAGGCAATCTGAGGCTACATTCCCAAACCCTGTTGCTGGTATAAATGGCACCACATGGCCCTCAGCCCCAGCTGTGCAGAGACACTACTATCAGCATTTTCCGGGGGCTCAGGCAACGTCTCCCCACAGGCTGATGGGACTCAAGCACTTATCCTGGAATGTGCAGGACAGAGCTCCTCAAGCTGAGGTCACTCTAATGCCCTGACCATGCTCCTTGGCATGCAAGGTAAATGGAAACATTTTGTGTCTTTCTGGTTTTATTTTGGTTAGTCATCACTAATGTTTACCAGCCCTACCATGTTATTTCTCATGGTGTTGGGAATTGATCCCAAGGCCTTATGCATGCTCAGCCAGCGTGGTCCACACCACAGCTCATCCTCTCCATTTGCAGAGTACAGCTCAGGGATATCAAGTCATTCCCAGTGTGCAGCCACCACCACAATCCCTCCTCAGATCACTTCATGCTAAAACAGAAGCTCTGCACCCCAGGACAGTAGCTCCCCATTCTTTCCTCTGCCCAGCTCTAGCACCCATCAGTCTGCCTTCTGTTTCTGGGATTTGACAGAGTGCAGCCATTCACTGTCTGTCTGTGACTGACAAGTCATCTAGGCTCTTTCGTGGTCAGCAGGCATCACACTAGCTCTTTAAAGCTGAACGGATGAGCAGTGCTCACCCAGAATTCACTGTCTTTCTCTGGTTTCAGTTACAGTAGATAACCATAGTCCAAAAACATTACCTAGCAAATTCCAGAAGTAATCAGCTCACAAATTTTGAATAGGGTACCATTTGGAGTCTTACTAAACCTATTATATTCTTTCCTTGTCTCACTCATATTGGGCACATAAAAGGTGTCTTTGTTCTATATATTCATGTTTTGGGGATGTTGTAGGGGTCTGTGTTCTCAGATCTGTGTCTGCTATATTGCAATCTTTGTGTTTAAGAGGAAGGCAAGGCGATGATGTCCTAATACTGAGTCACAATGCCCTTTCTCTTCCCCTCAGTCTAGCTCATCTTTAGGCCTTGCATCATCTCGTGGCACTGCATGTAGTACTGTGTGCCTGAGAGAAGGATTCCACATTCAAATAACTTTTATTGTAGTTTGTTATAATTGTTATGTTATTAACCTCTTGCTGGGCTTGATTTTGTAAAATATACATCATATACATCTTTTTGTTTTGTTTTGTTTTTCAAGACAGGGTTTCTCTGTAGTTTTGGAACTACAACCTACTACCTGTCCTGGAACTCACTCTGTAGACCAGGTTGGCTTCAAACTCACAGAGATCTGCCTGCCTCTGCCTCTCAAGTGCTGTGATTAAAGGTGTGATTAAAGTGTGCCACCACTGCCCATTGTGCAGTCAGTGTTTTTATCCACTCATTAGTCAATGGACACTTGTGGTGCCTTCTTCTACCACTGAGAATGATACTGCCATTATCATGGGCTTATAATGATCTCATTGAACTTTGTTATAATTCTCTGGGTGTTGTATGCATGTGTATGCACACATATAGACCAGAAATTGATAATGGCTATCTCACTATAGTCTCCTCCACCTTATTTTATTTAAATTTCATATTTATTTTATTTTACAAGTATGAGTATTTTACCTGTATGTATGTCTGTGCACCACGTGTGGGCTTGGTGCTACAGAAGAGGGCATTGAATCCCCTGGATCAGACTGTTGTGAGTTACCTTGTGGGTGCTAGGAATGGAACCCAGGCCCTCTGCAAGAGCAACAAGTTCTCTCAACCACCAAGCCAACTTTACAACCCCTTCACCTTAGCTTTTAAGATAGCATCCCTTCTTGATAAACCTGGAATTCTTCATTCCAACTAGACTGGCAGGTTCCAGAGCTCCCAGGATACATATGTCCCTGTCTACTAGTCCTGGGGTTGCAGATGCATGCCTAACTCATACATAGGTGCTGGGATCCTGAAAGAATGTATAAGTGGTCCATTTCCATTTAAAATTGTCTCCAGTGGACTTAAGTTACCAGACCACAATCAGGCATGAGGCAGTGGTCCCCTGCTGCAATTAGTGAAAAAGTGCTTGCCTAGGCACTTTTAATTTATCTTGGGGTAGGAAGTTATAGACATTCTGTTATGTGACTGAGCCCACAAGTCTTGGAGGGAGAAAGGACTCTTGAGCTCCAGAATGTATATTGTATAAGGGCCTGTGCCCTTGAAATTCAGAACCAAACCTAAGTATAACCTTAACAAATAAAATGGGAAAACTTAGGGTAGGGATTTTACCATACAATGTGGAAGACTGTACCACTCCAAGTCCCCAGTCAATGGGGGCAAGACATAGATTAGTGGTTAGGACTATAAAAACAATTGTTTGGAGCCTAATTGGCATGCACACCATTTTGTCTGAGCTGGTGCCTGACTCTGATGAGGGAGGTCCTTCTGTATGCTGTGAATATATGTTTCTCTAACTGGCTGATGAATAAAGCTACTTTTGGCCAATGTAGCCAGGCAGGAATATAGGGCAGGGCTACCAGACTAGGAGAAGGCTGGGAAGAGTAACACAAGGAGTGAGTTGGGAGAGAGACATTATGTAGCTGCCAAGGAAGAGATCCCAGCAACACACTGGTAAGCTAAGACCACTTGGAGATATATAGATTAATAGAAATGGATTAATAATTAAGACAGAGCTAGCCAGCAAGAAGCCTGAGCCATAGGCCAAACAGTTTATAATTAATATAAGCCTCTGTGTGTTTATTTGGGACTATATGGCTGCTGGACTAGGCAGACAGAAACTTCCATGTACATGACCCTGCAGGATTGTTAAATAAATTATGTTGCTTTCAGAACTCTGGGTCTCTAGTGTTCATTATAAGTGTGTGTGTGTGTGTGTGTGTGTGTGTGTGTGTGTGTGTGTGTGTGAGTGTGTGTGTGTGTGTTGTCCCCCACATTACTTTTTTTTTTTTTTGGTCCCCAAACTGAGTGTGTTTCCCTCTGGTAACTGTGGAACCAATAAGACCAGACATTAACTGAGCAGGGAGGGAAACTCAGTCTTGATTACGATGAGAGAAGTCAGAGGTAAACTCCAAAATCTAGGAGTTTATAGATGTACATGAGAAATGAGGTGGGGGCTGGAGAGATGGCTCAGAGGTTAAGAGCACTGGATGTTCTTCTAGAGGTCCTGAGTTCAATTCCCAGCAACCACATGGTGGCTCACAGCCATTTGTAATGAGATCTGGTGCCTCTTCTGGTGTGCAGGCAACATGCAGACAGAACACTGTATACATAATAAATAAATCTAAAAAAAAAAAAAAAGAAGAAGAAGGAATGAGGTTGAAGTAGAGAATGATAAAGGGGAGTAGTGTGGAGGTTTGCTGGGAATTTGGGTACTGCCTCAGGTGATGGAGACTGATCCCAGGGAGAGCCTTGCAAACGCCAGCCAAGCACTCTACCCTAGCCATCTTTCACAGTTCCTTTTCAGTCACTGTTATGACAATCGTTGACTGTCAGAGCGTTAGAAGGTGTGTCGTTTAATGTGCAGTTAGAACTGCTACCACAATCTTGGAGGATGTCAGTGCTGTTGATATCAATTAGGAAAAGCTGTTCTCCATCATATCCGTTTCCCATCTCCCCCCCCCCCCCCCCCCCCGCAAGGAATGGACTCGGCCTCTGGCCGTAGACAGGGCATCCTTCCTTCCGTTATCGCCTCCGCGGTGCCCTCACACCCCACCCCCACTTCTGCAGCTGTCATGGCGGCCTGGCGGTTAAGTTTGTGCGCCCGCAGTCTTTCGGCGATTAGAGGACTCCAGACTAACCACCTTCGCTGGAAATCGAGCTCCTCTAGAGCTGTGATTGCCCGGTCCTCTGTGAAGCGAAAGGAGCAGAGAGAACCGACCGAGGGCTGGATGGAGGACCCAGACCCCAAGGACGAAAACGTCTACCTGAAGAACTCCAACTTCCATGGTTATGACGATGACCCTGTGATAGACTTCTGGAATATGCAAGTCGTCTTCTTCTTTGGCTTTTCCATCGTCCTGGTCTTCGGCACCACCTTTATGGCTTATATCCCTGACTACGGGATGGTCCAGTGGGCCCGCCAGGAAGCTGAGATGCTCGTGAAACACCGAGAAGCCAGTGGCCTCCCAATCATGGAGTCCAACCGTTTCGATCCCAGAAAGATTCAGCTGCCAGAAGATGACTGATGAATTACTAAGTGGGATGTAAGCAGCACTACCTTGCCCCCATTCCCTGCCAGTTTTTCTGTTCACTCCGCAGAGCACCTATCAAAGGGACTGAAAGAAAAAAAAAAGAAAGTGTGTTACTCCAGCTAGGCCTATCAATTATTTGTCCAAAGGACCACACCTCTGGAAGCCTGACTCCCCTAAAATTAAGCTACAGAGACTGGAGGAATAATTACCCCGTTAAGGAGATAATGAACTTTCCTTCCCAGAAACCCTGTCCTGGGTCTAGAAGGATGGAGGTCCCAGAGCCCAAGGTTGAAAATGTCTACTCCAAGAAGCCCGACTTCCATGGTTGTGACGATGACCCAGTATTGGACACCTGGAATATGCAAGCCTGGAATATGCACGCCATCATCTTTGATCAGAGGCCCACCTGTGGGGCCTCAGCTTTGTGCTCTGTTCACTTTCTGAGTCCTGGCTCACAGAAGCATAGCTGTTTCTTTCCCCCTTCTTTTCTTTCTTTGGAATACTTGCTAATGCCTGGGCATTTTTTTTTTTTTTTATATTCTAGGCTCTTGTTTTTCCTTTATATCTCCCCCTCCCCTGCTTCTATCATGGGACTGCTTGGTCAGCCTCCATTACTAACCTGCATGCCTAACTCAAAAGGTATGATTTTCACTTCCTCTTCTGTTTTTCTCTTGGCATCTGCCAGGAAGTTCAGGTTGCTTGCCCTGCTATTTTTCTTTTAAACTCTAATAAGAATTGTCCTTAGGGTTTTCTCTGAGTTCATTCTTAAACTACTTTATTTTTGCAAGGTTTACTTTAAATTAAGTGCATTCACGTGTCTGTGTGTGGGTATATGCGAGTGCAGATGCAGGGGGAAGCCAGAGGCCTCAGAGTCTCTGGAGTTGGAGGAGTTGGGAACTGAACTTGGGTCTTCTGCAAGAGCTATATGCATTTCCATTGAGCCATCTCTCTAGCTCTTTCCTTTTATTAATGAACCCAAAGAGAGGGCCCTAATTTCCCTGGTCACCTGGCAGCCATCTTAGACCCAACAACTGGCCAGAACTTCTGACCAATAGATGTATTGTTCTCAAAGAGAAACATGATTAGGATGGGGTAGAAATTTAGCAAGGCCAGCTATCTGAATGTAGTGGCACATGCCTTTAATCCTTGCACTTGGGAGGCAGAGGTCGGTGGATCTCTGTGAGATCCAGGGCAGCTAGGTCTACATAGTGAGTTCCAGGATTCTGCATACATACATACATACATACATACATACATACATACATACATATTCAAGATAATAACAAGACCGGAAATGTGCTGGACTAAAAAGCACAGAACGGATTCTGGCAAAAGGGTGACTCAGTTTTATTTCCAAGCCCTGTAGCAGTTCTTCATTCAACAAACGTGTCAGTCACTATGACAGATATTGGGAGCAATACGGGGAAAAAAATAATGGCCCCATCCTGTAACTACCACCCACTGGGCCTCAATGCACATGCTCAGCTAATGAAGTGTATCTCCAGCCACATAGGCAACCAGCAAGTGTTCAGAATCATCTCTGTGGAAGGCATAGTCTTAACTCTCCACTGTACATCCTGGGGGATCCAGACAGGTCTCTAAGACTTTCCAAGGACACATTTCTTTAGTGCTTGTGGGTAGAAGGGATTGGGGAAAGTTTTGTTTTAAATTTTTGTTTTTTTCTGAGATAGGTGTTGTGCCAGGTTCGAGGAGCCCAGAGACTAACCCAAGGAGTCGGCACTCTGATGCAAAAGCAAAAGGTTTCTTTTTATTTCAAGCTGGCCAGCTAGGATCTCACTGCATAGCAGACAAATGAGATCCCAACAAGCCAAAAAGAGAAGCTTTTAAAGGGGCAGACCATAAGGCTGAAGGCCACAAATTACAGAGTTTCCATGGTTGCTTCAGGTCATACAAAGTACAGAGTTAGTAACTATACATTTTAAGGGAGATACATTTGACTGAGATAAGACAGGGCATGGGCATGCAGGGTTATAAGGTCAAAAGAGAAGCTTTTAAAGGGGCAGACCATAAGGCTGAAGGCCACAAATTACAGAGTTTCCATGGTTGCTTCAGGTCATACAAAGTACAGAGTTAGTAACTATACATTTTAAGGGAGATACATTTGACTGAGATAAGACAGGGCATGGGCATGCAGGGTTATAAGGTCACAGGGCCTGTCAGTTATCCCCTGGGCTGGGGGATCTTTATGACCAGCAATTAGCAAAGGAATATTGACAGGAATGTGGACAGTTACTTCTCCTTCTCTGAGAGCAGGGGCTCAGGAGCCAGTCATGGCACTCCTGATTTAAGGAGTTAAATTTTCCTTTTCCAATAGATGTTCCCTTTTCAGGGCCTAAGGTTTTTTTTTGTTTTGTTTTTGTTTTTGTTTTTTGTATGTGTTTTTGTTTTTTCAAGACAGGGTTTTTCTGTGTAGCTTTGGAGTTTATCCTGGCACTCACTCTGGAGACCAGGCTGGCCTCGAACTCACAGAGATCTGCCTGCCTCTGCCTCCCGAGTGCTGGGATTAAAGGCATGTGCCACCAACACCCGGCTAGGCAGGATCTTGTTACATACTCTTGGCTGGTCACTCCAGCCTCTGCTTTTGGGGCAATGGGATTATTGGTGTGTACCACCATGGTCAACAATAAGGTAGTTTTATTAATGTTTTTCCTATAGCAGTCCCACCATAATCCTTCAAGGATAAAGCCACTGAAACCCAGAGGTGGAATGACTTGCTCTTAGGCACAGACCCATGTTGGAGCAGTCCCTGTGGCTCCCAGTGTGTCTCTTTAAGAGAAAGGTTTTGTCCCTGGCAACTGAAGCTCAGAGAGGGCCTTAGGGAAGCTCTGGGGAAATAAAAAAACAAGACTGGGGGAGGGGAAGACTGGCCAGTGGGTAACTTTGAGAACCAAAACAAGGCACAACTGTGGGCAGAGGACCTATAACTTCAGCCTGGCAAGATGATGGGCTCTTCTGGGTCAAGACTGAGGGTCTATGGTAAGTGCCTTCCATATTTATTTTTTTATATGTACACATGCTTTGCCTGATTGAATGTATGTGAATCGGGTGTGTGCCTAGGGTCTGTGGAAGTCAGAAGAGGGTTCGGATTCCCCTAAAACTGGAGGTGGCTGTGAGCCACCATGTGGATGCTAGATTCTGTATCCTCTGCAAAAGAAACAAGTGCTCTTAACTACTGAGCCATTCCTCCAGCTCCCAAAACTTTTTTTTTTTTAAGTAATAATTTAGGGGCTGCCAATAGTTTTCTTTTTCTTCACCTGGAGTAAGACCTTTCAAGGGTGGACATTCAGGCCTGAAGGGGGTTGTTGAGATTGGCAGTTCAGGAGGCTACTCTCCCTCTCTGGTGACCTTGGACAGGTGGCTCTTTTGAGTCAATTCCTCTTCTTAGAAAATGTCACCAGTGCTAGCCTAGGAAGGGGGAGGGGCAGGGAAGCCATGGGCTTATAGAGGCTATTGGCAAGACCAGCTGGGAATCAGTGGTGTGGGACGATTTGGTATTTTTTCTTTTCACAGTGCATGGTGTGTACATTGTCTCCCAACTAGGCAGTCCACTGAATTTAAATAAGGGCTGAGGGCACATGCTCAGATGGTGTTTACTGGAGTGGAGGCTGTTGCTGTGTTTTCTCTGGTCCCTTTGGGACTTCTTCAGCCAGTGGGGACAAAATAGTGTTCCCTATGGATCAAAGGGCAGCCTTGCAGTCCTGGAGGGAGCATGTGAATAAGCCACTCTCCTTACAGCTCAGGCCAGGTCCAGAGAACTGTTAGAATGGATTGGTCTTAGAGACACCTGTCTTCCATAGATGAACAGGAGGGGAAGGCCTTGACCAAGGTCTGTGTCAGGTTCAATCAAAATCCACAGGAATTCCAGCCCAGAGGGGTTTTGTTTTTGTGTGTGTGTGTGTGTGTGTATGTATGTATGTATGTATGTATGTATGTATGTATGCATTGTCATTGTTGTATATTATCATGAGGGGGACCTTGTAACAGGGCCCATGCCTGGAGGTCAGATGGTAACTTTGGAATTAGAACTGTCACTCCACTTTTACAGTAGGTTCTGGCATGAACTCTGGTCTCAGGATTATCAGCAAGAACTCTGTAGCAGGCTGGGTGGTGGTGGCTCATACCTTTAATCCCAGAGCTCAAGAGGCCGAGGCAGAGGCAGGTGGAGCTCTGAGTTCAAGGCCAGCCTGATTTACAAAGTGAGTGCCAGGGCAGTTACACAGAAAACTCTGCCTCAAAAAACCAGAAACAAAACAAAACAACTTTGTAGCAGTACCACTGTTGGATGAGTAGATATCTCAGTGGCCCCAGAGGGTGTGTGTCTGTTTAAATGGCCTACCCAATTCAACCCTAGTCCATGTTATTCAGTTGATGCCCTGTAAGATGGTCTGGTGGAAGTGAGGGGTAATGCACCCTCAGCAGGGTGGGGGTGGGGTCAGATTAGGTGGGAGGAGATGAGAAAGGCTTTGGGGAGGCCTTATTGATGCTGGTCTTTAGTGATGAGTGCAGTTGGGAATGGGATCTAGCTTGCAGCAGATGTGAACTGAGTGATGAATGGACCAGTTAGGGACCAGTGTTTGCATCCAGGTGTGGGGGGTTGATGTCCTGGGACAAGTTGGGCTTTGCTAAAGTGGAGACAAAGAACTTGGCTGTTATCCCCTGGGTTCTTGAAAGTTAGGACAGCGTGGTTCACAGGAATCTGGCAAGCCTCGGAGTTTGGCTGAGGCCTGGGGTACCTTGCAGGTCTATAGCGCCACCTGGTGTTCACATTTCTCCCACAGACATTTCATGGGAAGAGAGCAACATTGCACACCAGGACCTGACCCCAGGGGTTTGCACTCAATGTTGCAACAGGCTCCTGCTGGCTTCTTGGTGGTTCAGGGCCAAAGCCCCTGAGTGTGAGGAGGCTTGGGTCTCATGTCCTCCTTCCTAACCAGCATGGCGGTCATCTTCTACACCACCACCCCACTGTGGCC